CTGTGCTATTAGACAAATTTCTCAAGATCTATTTTCCCCCTAGACAAGGCTGCGACACTTCCTCATGAACAAAGAAAGTTGCACGCAGAAAAGGTAAGAAGACGCAGCAGGTGTTTCTCATCTACAAAAGGTCTTAACTGTGCCGTGAGCAGTGCCGCGGGGCCTCTGTGAGTGCTGCACTGTAGCCGGCTGGATATTTATTTGTACAATAGTAACACAGTTGCTACAGTCAAACTGAGATATCTTTAGTATATGTTACGTGACATGGAACCTTCCCCAAGGTTTGGGATGCTTGCCTTCCTATTAGGCCAGAAAACTCTTAGCTGTTTTGTTTTGTTATTACCAAAGCAACACATGTTTTTGGCAGGAAATTGACATGATTCGGGACATCTCATTATATGAACTGTGTCGTCATTTATTTGCCCAGCTCCGTTCCAGACGTTGAGGCCAACTGCGTGCTCATGTTTTTGCTTCTGTCAGTGATGAAGCTGGGTTTATCCCCACCCTTCACATTCATGTGCAGCCCTGATCGCAGGCTTAGCCCAGGTCTAGCACAGAAGTCTGGGTCAAAGGCTGCCCAGGGATTTTTATGTGTGCTGCTGGAGGGCCAAAGTATAGGATTGTAGACCTCAGCCAGGTCGGGTGTGGCCTATGAGGTGGGCAGAAGGTCAGCTCTAGCCTGAAACGTGTCCCGTGCTTCACTCCACAGGTGGCCAAAGCCTTCTGGATGGCCATAGGAGGAGACCGAGACGAGATCGAGGGCCTTTCTTCAGACGAAGAGCACTAAATTCTTCCTGCTGGGTTTGCCTGGCACTCAAAGTGCTTCCCTGCTCAACCCGGTTCTGTTCTGCCAAGATTGCCGCCATCATGCTGGCTGCTTGACTGTTTGGGGCTCCCTTAGCTGGGCTTTTAGAAAGGGGATAGGGAGACATCTTTGCTCCTGGGTCATAAGTGAATGAGGAGTGAAATGACAGTATCAACATCTTCAGATCTGCATCTTCAGATCTCTGTTCTTCGTTTTAAGAACCAGGGTAGAATGAGTCTTAGAGGTCTGTACAGGAGAGCCAGGTGTCAGAGCACACTGTGACCCTAGCACCTGGGGGTCTGAGGCCAACTTGGACTCCATAAGGAGGCCTGCTTCTTTGCTGAATCGCCAGTATTCACACTGGCTGAAGGTCGGGAGTCTGTGCCGTTTCCTTTGTACTTCCCCTGGTCCCCACTAAGAGCCAGGCTCTGAGCTAAGGTGGATGCTATTGAGAAAAAACAGAGGCAGCTATAACTCTAGTTTGCGCCCGGTGGGTGGGGGGACAAGTGGCTCTGGGTTTGTCTCTAAGCAAGCCCTTATGGACATTTGAAGTTCAGTGTCTGAGTTCCTGCCACAAAGAAGTAAAAGTCAGATGTCTGTGTAGAAGAAGCAGGCAAAGGTTTCCTCCTCTGGGGAAGGTAAAACACTCCTCTCCCCAGCTGCAGAAAAAGGGCCCTTAGTGCAGCCCTGTGCAGGCCAAAGGAGCAGCAGGGTGCAGGTTCTGAGCACACTGTGCTGACATGTGGGCAACAGTGTGCTCTGACCAAGTGCTGTCCCTGGATATTTGAGATTTTAGAGCTGTGCTGTCACACTTGACGCCCTGAAAGCAAGACAAGTGCCCCTTCTTTCTGTTTGGAAGCCAGAGATCACTGTCAAAGCACTTGAACCGAGCAGTGGGGAAAGTGAGCCCTTAAACAGTCCCAAGCCACTACCATGGTTTATTCTGGGGCTATGGGCTCCTTTGCACCCCTCCAGGGGCTGGCCCTTTCTCCTTTGTTGTACTTGAGTACATCAGCGCCAGGGGAGCACAAAGCAAAGTGTTAAAGAAGAGAGCAAAGTACAGCAAATAAAGATCATTATAGACTCCTCTGGGAGGAGTTTCCGAGCAGGTGCAGCCTGTGATAGATGGCGCCCATCATGGGCTGAGAGCTGGTCCTGATTTAGCGTGGGAAACATGGGTCGATCATAAGCAGAAACAAAGCTCACCTGCCCTGGGTACCACTTACAGGACCTGAAACAGATGGTTGGCCAGGCCAGAACCACCACAGGGAGGAGACAACATCTCAGTGATGGTAGCAATCCAGCAAACTGTGGGTGCTGGCTTGCACCGAGTCCCTGTGCCCACCCCCCACACCCATCTTGTAATCTTTGAGCTTGGGTTTACACCCTCCCTTCAGTAGGACTGAAACTTTGAAGTGAGTGCATTAGCCTTTGGTTAAGAAGGAAAATTAGGGAAGTTGACTCTGAGTTGCCAGGAAGGCAGAACATGTTTTTCTTAAAACATGGAAGATTTTAGATTAATCAAGTTAGGCTACATGATTAAGAAAAAGTAGAGTAGAAGAGGCTGTGTTTGATTTTGTTGACTAAACAAAGCCAGGTAATTAAAAGATGATTTATTTATAAAGTCTCTAATGTGTATTGTTATGCTGGGAAGCCTGGTGTCCTCTGTAGTAGGCACACAAAGTGTCTAAGGAGTTTTGTCAATTATGTTTTAGAGTCTGCTTTGCCTGTGTGATGTCTGCTCCTGCTTCTGAGACCTCAGCTGATCGTCAGGGATAGTGGCGTTTTGTAGGGATGCTGAGGGTCAGAGTTGCTACTGATGGCTCAGAGCTGCTGAGCTGATGCTGTGCTAACAGGTGCTATCTTCTAATATGCCTTGTGCGTGTAAGTTAGATCTCCAGAGTGCACTGGGGGTAAGAGACTGGCTTTCTGATTTAAACACCGCTGCATTTCTAGAACAATGCTGGGTACATAGTAGGCCCACATTTTTGTTGGCAGGTACGGTCTGCCTGTTAGAATTGATCACAGAATCTAATGAGCCATGAGTTCTGGAAACTAGAGAGAGACAAGAGTCAAATTTTTCTTCTCTGAGACAATCATGTTATGTAATAATTTCAAAGTGATGAAGGCATGGCTATTTTTGTAATTTTAAAATATGGCAGAGTATGAGAAGGTTGACAGAACCAACTGGCTTGCTCTCTATTTATAGAACTTGGCCACATCTGACCCAGAGAGACTGCAGATTGGGGGAAGCTGGGCTCATTTAGATGGCTGAGTAATGTAGGATGTGATACAGGGATCATAGAGTACCAGGCCTTTTGGGGAACCGTTCATACATGAGGAAGATACGTGCCCAGTGTCATCCTCCCACTGTGGAAAGCTGGGGGAAAACATCTTTGCCATGCTTTGTCATGTTCCTTGGGATCATCTTTTTAAAATTTATTCTTTTTTTGTGGGTAAAGATGCTCTGCCATTTTGCCTGCATGTATGTCTGTATTCTGTATACTACAGGTATACAGTGCCTTTGGAGGCCAGAAGGGTGCAATGGACCATCTGGGACTGGACTTACAGATGGCTGTGAGCTGCCATGTGGGTGCTAGGAACAGAAGCCAGGTCCTCTGGAAGGGGAGCCAGTGCTCTTGGAATGGTCTCCAAACAATGACCATTGAGAGGACATGAGGTATGCCTCTTGTCCTGCTGTGGCATGCTGTAGCAAGCAGGAGAATCATGGTGGAAGGGTAAGATGTGGGTTCTGAAGACTATTTTGAGCGTGGGTGTTGGCTACTGCAAACTAAATTTAACATATCTAGAATGGTCGGGGGAGAACCAGAAGGTTCATTAGTGCTCTGCTTGAAGGAGAGCTTAAGCAAGTGTTCTGATGACCCAGATTTGCTCATCACACACCCATCTACAAGGGACAATCGAGCATTAGATCATTATCAAATAGTACCTGAGTCCTGCAGGGAGAGAAAATGCAGATGCCTTCTCCAGTGTGCTGAACCGGGATGGGCCTGTGGGCTTTTGAGTCTCTGCGCAGCTCTGCTGGTGTTTGCTGATGTTACCCACCCCACACCCCCGGAACACACACTCAGAGTCTTGTGTTTCCCGCATCTGCTCTGTGTTTTTACTAGGAGTGAAGTAGGTTGAGAAGTATCTTTCTTGGTTCTGGATGGATTGATCCTCTGATGGTGGGATGAACCAGCAGCAGTCATGTGCACCTTTCTTTAGAATGTTAGGGAGCCCCATTCCTGTGTCCTACTGATTGAATGGTTCACCATCCCCCCTCCAGCCTTTTTAAGAAGAGAACAAATTCAAAACCTGGCCTTAAAATTATTACTGTATCTTTGGAATACAGGCTTGCTTGTGTTTTGTGATGGTAGTGGTCTGAAAACCTTTGTGTGGGATTACCTTTTGTATGTGTGTTCATGTGGGTGCTACTTTGTGTAATGTGTATGTCAGAGGACAGCTTGATGGAGCTTGTTCTCTCCTTCCACCATCTGGGTTCTTGAGATGTGGACTCAGCTCGTCAGGCTTAACAGCAAACACCTTGACCTACTGAGCCATCTTGCTCAGTCCCCTTTTCTTTGTTTTGTTTTGTTTTGTTTTTGAGATGGAGTTTTGCCATGTGGCTCAGACTGGCCTTGCACTCTCAATCGCCTTGCCTCAGGCTCCTGAGAGCTGGGATGACAAGTGTGCAGCACCCACGTGTGCACTGTTGGTGGCTCATGTGTCCCTTCCTTGCCATCAAGAACCTGAGCAGCAGAGAAGGTCACATGAAGACACTCAAGCTCAGCTTGCTAACCAGAATCCTCCCTACCGAGCTTGTAAAAGTGGCGACCATCATGGCTTTTGTGCTTCTGTTACCAGCCAGGTGACTTTCATGCTACAAAGATGTAGGCTCATTAATGCTCAGGTGCTGTGCTTTATGAAAATAAGTGTTGGTTGGAAGAGACATTGATTTAACCCTAAGTTCAAGGATGTGGACTGTATCAATGACCCACCCCTGGAAATCTCCAGGCATTCATCATTAGCACAGTTTGGTGGCCTCAAATTTGTCTTTCTGCCCTGCTGAGGCCGAAACAAAGACTCAGGAACCAGCCAGCATGGCCTGTGACTCTGCTGGTGCCAGAACCAGAATGAGCAAGGACGAGGAGGAGTCAGTCTTATGAATGAAGTTTCTTTTCTCGTGGAGCCCAGAGACAAGCAAGACGAAGTCACAGATGACAGAAGGCCAAGCAGATGGGAAGAGGGTTGGTTGCAGGCAGCCTATACTGTAATCGTTTGCAAATGTGAGCCCATTCAGAATCACCTGAGAGGCTCCACCCTGTTCCTGGTGAAGCTGGTGTATGGTGGGACCTGAAAAGTCTCATTTTTAACATCTTAGGTGATACTGACACTCCTGGGTCATGCTGTGAGAATCAGGTAAGTGATGCTGGACTCCAGCTAAAAGGAATAAAGAATTTGGGCACAGAGGTAAGTAAGAACATAAAGATTCTTCCAGGAAGTCATGGCATGAATAGAGGTATAGATATGAGATTGGCAAGTCCCAGGACAGTCCCATCAGAAAAATGCTGGTGGCAGAGAAGAGTTTTCCTGTTCAGAAGGACAGATGCCACAGGCTGCAGACAGAAAGGGCCCCATCACAGGCGTACTCCAAGAAGGCTGGCAGCAACCTTGTGCACAGATATCTAATCAGCTGCACGGAGGGGGAGTCCGGCTGAGTGGACTCAGACCATGACTAAGGGTTGTGCTGTAGACAGATACGGGATAGTAGTCCTTGTGTCACATGTGTGTCCCTGAACTAAAGGGAGACAAATTAGAGTTGTGGGACAGCTGTGATAGCGAGTGACCCGGAACTGGATTTTGGGCTTTCCTTTAGTTACACAAAAGACTGGCGCTGAAGTAGCGCAGTGGAAAGAGGCAGAAGGCACAGCACTGAGGCAAAACCCAGAGGCCCTGGGTACACATACCTGGCCACAGGAAGCCCTCCTCTCAGGGGACTTGGCTCTTGCGAGGGATGACAGGCACAGGTAACACACTGTGAAGGAGCCTGGTGGCAGAGATCCTGAAAGGCTTCCTGGAGGAGAGCTGAACCGAGCTGCAAGGCACAGGCACAGCGGGCTGGCCTGTGTGAGTCAGAGAAGCTGCAAGTCAAAGGTAGACAGTATGGGAAGGAGGAGCAGCACAGGCAGACATGGAGACAGTGACGCATAGGCCCCACCACCGCTGCTCTGGAGATAGAGCAAGGAGTGGAGAGCTGGGCAGGAACAGAAGAAGGCCAAGTATCATAGAATGAATGACCTTAGAATTTGCTGTGGGCAGTGTTGGTTGGGTTTGAAATGCCACCCTTGAGCCATGTGTTCAAATATGTCCTCGGCTCGTGGCACTGTTCGGAACTGGAGAGATATTTGAGGTAGGTCTGACCACAGTCCTCGAGACCATGCCCTTGCTTTCTCTTTGCATCCTTCCATTACAGGCCCACAACAGCAGGGACAAATGACTGTGGGCTAAAAGGTCTGAGACCATGAGCCAAAATGGTGTCATTACTAAGATTATTCTCTCAGGCATCTCATTCCAGGGCAGTTCCGAGTAACAGACTGTGTGAATTGTTAGAGCAGGCTGGAAACCGAAACAGTCAGGGTGCTGGGGCGGGGTCCAAATGCTAGGAGAAGCTGGCATGTAGGGCGGTGAGAGCAGGGGCTGAGCAGGGACTGGGAAGACTCGAGAGCAGCTAGAGGTGGGGAGCTCAGAACAATAACTTTTGCCAATGTAGTTTTCAGAGTGATGGTCTGCAATGATCATTTCTGTAATTCTGTCTTCTGAATTGTGAGCATGAACAATTGATTAGCCAGCAGACCTCTGTCCCCAAGTTGGAAGCTCAGGCTGATACAGGAGTTGCTAGCATTTATGTGGCTGGAAACCCTGAGACTTAGTGAAATCATGGAAGACCGTCAAAAGCACACACATAGTCTGGGAACACCCGAGAACAAAGGAGACGCAAGCTCAGGAAAAGGGCAGATCCAAGGAGAACTAGGAAGGCTGAGGGGGCAGGGCCTTTCCAAAGGGGAGGGTTGTTCAACTGTAGCCTCAGCAAGGAGGTGAGGGATGGGGCAAAGAAACACAAGGAGCTGCTGAGGGGCTGAAGGATGGGGAAGGTGGATCCATGTGTCACTTCTCACGAATCGCTGTAACTAAGTTCTAGCCCAAGGAGCAGACTGGGGTACAGGCCCATCCAGCTAAGTATTGAAAAACAATCTCCAACCAAGTCTGGCGGGAGCTGGGGTGGGGGCATGGTGGGGGAATGGGCCAAGGAGTTACCCTTAAGGTGGGGATTTGAGGTGGCTCGTGGAGGTCTGCCTAAAGCGGCTCCTTGGATTCAGGAGGTCCTTAGGGCAGATGGAAGGGGCTCCCTGAAGGGTGCAGGGCCACCTCTGTCCTGGTTGTGCTTTAGTCTTTGGTATTTTGGTACATCTCCTGAAGCTGATGTCCCATTCGTTTTGAATTTAGGATTCAGTGACATCTCAGGAGTTTACAGGGTTCCTTGTCTTTCTTTTTTGGGAGGGGGGGGTCTCTGTAGCTTTGGAGTCTGTTCTGGAACTAGCTCTTGTAGGTCAAGCTGGCCTTGAACTCACAAGAGATCCGCCTGCCTCTTGTAATTCTTGTGTGTGTCTGTGAAGATATAGTGGCATGGGGGACACAGTGACACTATGGCAGAGGACAGCTTGGGGAGGTCTGGCTGGAGACTGGGGTAGTGGCCTGCAGTCACTTGCCAAAGGCCTTGGTGCAGAGGGGGGATGGAGGGGTATGTATCTGTGAAACTTGTGTCATATCTGGGGGACCTAGGGACTCCTGCTGGTCCTGTGTGGTCCTTTGATGAGGAAGCGAGGGCAGGTATTCCTGGAAGACCATGGCAGTGGGGTCAGGCACAGAGTTGTAGTATTTGTGTTTGCTGAGTTCTGAAGCCCCCAAGACCTCACCAGGGCTCCCTTTTAAGTCCCTCTATCCAGAGACAGCAGCAGGAATGAGACTACGCTCCTGCCCCAGGAGCTTTACAGTGAAAAGTTTATTAGAAGGGCGCTTATAAGAAGAGGGGACACGGCTCTTTAACATTGGGGTACAATGCTGTAAGATACAAAAGTTAGAAAAATCTAAAACACTATAAATACATGCTTTTTACAAAGATACTAAAGGCCTGGATGGCTGAATAGTGACAGTAACCTCAGCCTCCAGGCATCCCCACACGAGAGTCCACAGCAGCTCACCTGCCCTGGCAACAGCAAAGGCTTCTGGGATAAAGATGGCTCCAATTTCTGTGTGAAGTTTTCACTCCCAGAAGGGAGGCGCCTCAGTGCAGAAGAATGCTCTTGAGGGCCTGTTCTCGCGTGCCACCACTTGTTGACCCAGTCTGGTCTGACGTTTGTGGATCGGGAGCCAAAAAAGCCACTTCAGCCTCCATCCGTGTTCCAGCTCTGCCAGTCACTGTCCTGGGGGAAGAGACCTTCACAACGGTCTTTAAAAAATTAAATACCTATCCATCTGAATGGCTTTAAGGAATTGTTACATAAATATGCAAACAGCAGAATGCTAAACATCACTTTTGTCTTAACATGAGCCAGCTGCAGGGGCTGTTTCGAAGGTGATAGCCATGCATCAACATGTTCCTCTCAGTCCAGTACCCCTGTGAGCAGTGCACATCTTCATGCTTGACCCACATCCTGGAAAGTTGCTGAACTTTAAGTAAAGACCACTACTTAAAGAGGCCAAGTGACCGGAACACTGATGCCACTCATAGGAAATACAAGTGAGCTCCGACCAGGCTCCGGCTAATGTAAAGGCACATACATCTAGCCACTTGGTCACACAGAAATACAGTGCAGTGCTGTGGCTGTGTCCCTTCTGGTGCAGGCACCTTTCCAGCCTCTCAGGGACTTAAAAAAGAAAAAAATCAGAAATGGCGGCTTGGGGCTTAAGAATGAAGTCGGATATTTGCCTTTGCCTCAGACAACTCAGGCTTGACTCATGTGTGACTACACACACTACTTAAAACCTTTTTGTGGTCTGAGTGAAGACATCAAGCCCTGGAATATATCCCATCTCTGAGAAGCAAGTGGGAGAAGAGCAAGACCACAGCACCCGGAAGCACCGCGGCTCATTTCAATACATTAATGGGTAGGCAAAGAATCACTGACAATAAAAATAATACAGCACACTCTCAGGACAGTGGAGAAGTCTGCCAGCAGCCTTGCCCTCCCTATGTTCTTCCTCAGTCCCTGCTGTCCACTCCAGGCTTTTCTCAAAATGCCAGGTCTTCTACAGGCCTGGCAGGTGGCCAGCTGCGATGACATGCCAGCACACGCCTGTAATCCACACGGCTGGGCTACCTGCACACGCACTGAGTGAAGTTGGAGGAGCAGGTTACAAAGTTAGCTCTCTGGGGTGCTGAAGAGGAGGATCTCTGCCTAGTGCCAGCCATGTGGTCAGTGTCAGCAGAAACCCAAGGCTGGCACAGCACATGCAGTCAGGTCACCTGAAGGAGCCACACTTCAAAGGCCACCACGCCAGCTACACTGCTTTCCTCCCGACTTCCCGCTGTCCTCTAGAAGTAGAAATGCTGTTCTTACAAGACAAGATGGAAAACTAACTTGGGAGGACACTTAGATTACTCGTACCCAAAGGACCTGTGTTCTCGATGATGGAGTGGCATTTTCTAGATTCCAAAGCCTTTTATTTTCCAGGATGCAGAGAGAACTTGCCTAGAATTTTCTTGTATATCCTTCTCTAGCGACTGGCCAGTAAAGCAAGGGGGCCAAGGAAGTAACCTTTGGCAAGAAGAGAAAAAAAAAAAGATACTCTCAACTTTGTGCCTCCCAGGAGCAGCAATCAGAGTAGCCATCAGCTGAGCACTGCAGGCTCTCGTGCATTTTCCAAACACAGAACAGGCTGTGGGATGACTCCATTCGTGCTGTGTGGAGCTCTTCTCCAGCCAGGCACCTAGGGGATGACGATGGGCCACAGAAAGCCCCTAGGGACTGGGCAGCAAGTAGACAAGGCAGGTCCCTACAAACCACCGCCTATGGCTTCAGTAGACGCCACATCAGAACATCCTTGTGCTAGGCCAGACTCAGAACTTGGGTGACATGCAGGCAGTTCCAAGGACTTCCTGTGTCTGAAGCAGCAGTCCACAGACCGTCTCAAGTCTGGCACAGTGTTCACACCCACTGTCTGTGCCCTCAGGATAGGAGGCATTCAGGACTGCCTTTGGGTTCTGTAGCAGCAGCCTGCGGAGAAGATGCTCATGGGCTTCTTGTGTCTGAAGAAGGCTTGGGAAACATCTTGCCCAGAGCTTCAGGGGCCATAGGAGCCTGCAGGAGAGACAGCAGAATGTGCCCCAGAGACTCTGGGGCATCAGAAGATTGGTCATATCGGAGGGTGCACTTCCTTCCCTTCTGGAACAAGACAAGACTTCCACAGGAAATCCATACAAAAATGTGGATCGTCATTTCACAACAGAAACAGCAGCCAGGAAGAAAGTACCAATTGCAGGTGGCGATCCTGTGTGCTGTGTTCTAAAAAAGCAAGGAAAGGGACTCTTTCTTTTTTCCAGTTGAAGTAATTTATACTCGTTTTCTCTGTCATGGCCACCAGGAACAGTGCTCACTGCACAATATCACTGCAGCAGTTTTTGGTGACAGTCCTTTCCCAAAGCTGGGGAGTCTTACATCCCAGAGTGAAGATGACAGGCCTCTCTGCGCTAAGCCTGCAATTCCCCAAGGTGTAAAATAATTGTGATCGCCCTTTTCATTTGCCCCTGTCGGATTGCCTGGGGATGTCTTACCTTCTGGTGAATTGGCTTCCAAACCTCAGGGCAAGCAGCAGTTGGTGGGTCCACTCTGGTCTTCCAGTCAATCACACCCAGCATTGTTTTATAAGACAGAAGACAAAGAGCCTCTGCTAGGTGACTTCATTAATGCGACTGGCTCCATAAACCAGCACACCATATGCATCAGAATACAGTGCCAGCTTTCAGAGAGACACATGCGCTCCACCGCTGCCCTCTCTGCTTTCTGAGAACACTTGGACGACATCTGTGTCTCTGTGAGAGCACTGATAACAACTATACATCCCAATACACGCAGAGCTTC